AGGACCCTAAGGAGGTCAGCTCTGCGCCTTTAGCTCACTCACTACCCTCCTGCCCCACCCTAGGCCTCCAGAGAGCCACAGGAAGCTGCTGACCTGTCCCTGGGGGAATAAGTGTATTAGCGATAAGGTGGCCTCTGGTGGCTTCGTCAGCAGATCCAAGGCTTTGAGCTGAGTAATCCTTTGGCATCTGCCCCGGCAGCTGGCCGTCACAGGTTGGGGGACAGCCACCCCCCGCAGCCTCCGGGTTTCGCTGGGCTTTTGCCATCCTTTCCTCCAGCACAGGGCTCAGAGCCTGGGCCTGACCTTCCTGGGGATGAGAGCCAGGCTTAGGAGCTTGGCCGTATCTGATAAATGCAAGGAGTCGACATGATAAAGTGAAAACAGCCAGGCATGATGGCAAGCGCCTGTGATCCCACGATCCCTGCAAGCTCAAGGCAGCCTGGGCTACAAAGTGAGATCCTGCCTCAAACAGAGGAAGATCAGGCCCGTCAGACACCGCAGGTGACTTTTATTAGACATGTTGTGCCGTTCTTCTTGTCAGTCTAATTCATACGCACCGTAGGAAATCAGGAAAATGTTACAGCGTGACTTCCTGTCCCAGAAGTGCTCTGTGATCCTAGTTCTCAGCTACACTAAAACCTTGACCCCATTTCCAGGCTCTTCTTTCTGACGGAGGACAGAAAGTTGACCTGAAATGAACTTCTGTATTAAGGACACAACCTGGCCCTGGACGCCACCTAGGTAGAGGGAGACAGTGGACTCCAAACAGGTGATGAGGACCAGGCAGGAAGGACCAACCCTGCCACCCAGGCTGCGGGCCCCGGTGCCCTTGCAGAGGAATGCAGCCTAGCCCAGCCTGGCCTGGGCCACTGTCTCCCTGTGTCTGCCTCCCTGGCTTGCCCGTGTCAGCTGGAAACTTAGTGATCGCATGCTGGAGACCAGTGCGAGGGCTAATTGAAAAGGAATAAAGATGGAGGTTTGTCGTAAGCCGGCGACGCAGAGCACTGTCCAGCAGTGTCTCAAACCTGAAAGAGCAGCAGGGTGGAGATGGGGCAGAGAGAAAGAAGGACGCCAACACAAGAGTCTGATCAAGGCGACGTTTATTGCAAACAAGCATCAGCCTTTTAAAGGCACAACAACAGGAAACACCTGACTCCTACAGCTAACGTCAGATCTTTAACAGGAAGTACCTGACTCCTACAGATCTTTGGCTATCCGAGTTTCTCTCGTGCAGGGTCAGAAACAAGTTTAACACGTGCAGTCCTTAAAGAGGAACAAATGTTATCTTTCAAAAAGCCAATGGGCCATGGTTGGCTTCCCACAGAGGTTTTTCCTTTTTCTTCCATTTTCTTAATCATTAGCCTTAGAAAATGTCCACACAAGCTTGTGGTCTTGAACTCTAGCTCAATAGTGTAGCTTCCTGGAGTGTGCGGATAACATCCGGGGCCCTTACAAGTCCAGACCATGGGTAGTAGTTAGAAAAGCCACAAAGTCCAAATGGATAAAGAAAATGTGCCTGTGTGCAATGGAATACTACTCAGCTATAAAAAAGACAAATTCAGGACATCTGTAGGGAAATGGATCCACCTGGAAAATGCGTTAAGTGAAATCAGACACAAGTTTAAATCCTGTATGGTATCTTTCATTTCAGGAAGACACAGTGTAACTAAAGAACAAAATAAAGCGATAGAAGGAAACGGAGATAGATGCTTGCAAACGAGAAGGGGTCACAGAGACAGAAGGTGAGGAGAGGGGAGTGAAAAATGTAGGATGAGTCCTGAACGTGGACCAAATATCCACGGTGAATGTAAACATTACAGGTGGTAAATGTGAACTAAAAACGACAATATTGACACTAATAATGAAAATGGGGAGGGGGCAGATAGGAAGGAGAATGAAGGTGCATCGGGCCATGTTGCGCCCGCACTCTGGGGTGAGGGCGAACTTCCTGTGCAGCAAAGGTGGCCTGAGGATTAACCCTTTTATGCCTGCGGTCCACCCTTGGAACGACCCGTCGCAGGGGAGCACGATACAAATTATTCTCGTCAATGCTTGCTCCGTGAATTTTTCTAGGTAACATATATGAATTTCACTCAAAAAAAGGGCAAACTTTGGCATAAGTGGGTTAAAAGAAAGAAGAAAAACCTCAAAGCCTCCAGACAAGCTAAATGGAGAATCCAGCTAAGGGCCCTGTGGGGCCTGCTTCTGTCTGGAGTAAGTGAGCACAGCTGCTGTCTGTAAAACAGCATCTGTGTGAGGGAAAGGATGTCCCAGAATGACTCAGTTAAGGACAGAAGTTACCGCTGTGACCCTTCATGCTTGAAAGTGTCATATTTCTCCCTTCCTCTCTCTCTCTCTCCACCCCCCGACATAAAAGCTATCCTATGTGATAAACCCTAACCCCTACTCCAGACAGCAGTCCGCATGCTTGTCTGAGCTCATCAAAGACACAAACGTTCAGGTGTGCAGCAGATTTGGGTGGTGTTGGAACCCCGGCACACCTGGGAGCTCTGGTCTCTCTGCTGACTGCAGAGATCCCCAGGGCCCTGCTGGGCCCCTTTCCCAACCCTGTCTTCCCTTCCTCACTCACCCAGCGCCCTGCAGCTGCGGGAGGGCCTGCGGGAGAAACTAACCTTGGCCCTTAGGTCCCAGCCCCTCACCCTCCCTTCCCTACCCACCTGCCCACGATCCACCACTGAGCCCAGGCCCAGCGCAGGTGCAGCCCAGCCAGGCAGAGATAAAGCTGCTCGGGCCTGCTGCCAGGCACCGACCTGTGCTCCCAGGGCCGAGGGCTTCAGGGCTCGGCTTACACCTGCCTCCACCTCTGCCCTCTCTTCTGCGCCTTCAATTTGAACAAAGTCCGCTCCTAAAATATCTTTATCTCTTTCCTTCCGTGAGGATCGAGCTCTGCTTCTGCTCCCTCTGTGCCTCATGGGGAAGTGGGAGGTCAACTGCAGGGGCTTCTCTGGGAAGTACCTGGGGGTGAGCAGGAGTTTGGGGCTCAAACACAAGTTTGCAGTCGCGGGGCCTGAAGTTCCTCTGCCTCAGCTTCCTTGGCTGCTCTGTGGGGTTACTGTGAGCTTGGAACGAGAAAGCGACAAGTGCCGGGCACTTCTCAGGAGGTCCTGGGCTGATGGGGCCTCCTGCATGACCCCGGCCTTTGTGTGTCCCCCCACCTGCGTCCCTCTGTCTCTGAACAGACTGCAGTGACTCAGACCTCTGCTCAGGCCCAGCTGTTGTCCCACACACAGCCTCGGGGCGTCACTGCACAGGTGAGTCAGGTGGGGCTGTTGGGGTCACACAGGTGTCAGCCTGAGCCTCTGGAGAAGTGGGGGGGCTGGAGGTGTCAGTGAGCCCTCAGCCAGTCCCCGGGGAAGCCCTGTGGTGGTGGCAGTTAGGAGGAGCTGGAGACTCTGTCCTCCAGGGAGGGGGCCAGGTGAGAGCCTCAGCCCTGTGGCCTCCATCTTGTGCGGCCCCAGAAAGCTGATTACCCAGCAAAGCTGGGGGCTGACTTCCCAAATCCGAAATAGTGCTGCTCTGTCACAAGGAGCGTTAACCCCTTTCAGGACCACACCCCACCTATCCCTCCACACCAGGGCCCTGGGGATGCAGCCCCCGGATACACAGGTGCTCTGGGGTCCGTGGAGAGCAGAGCAGGTTAACAGCTTGGAATTGGGGACATCTGTAGCTCTGTCAAAGGGTTACAGACCCTGGGAAAAGGTGCCCCGAAGGGTGTTAGGCTGTTCTCCAGGCACGGGCGGTTTTAAATAGGTAATTTGGACATTGTTTGGGTCTGTTCGGTCTGCCCCTCCATCGTGGAACCAGGCTCTGTTGCTGTGTCCTATGTGAAGCCAGTTTACTGGCTTCTAGACCTAAGGGACTCTGGGTGTGATGGTCTTGTCCGGGGGAGAAGTTATGATCACCTCAGGAATTTCAGCTGGTCCTGGAAGCTGCGGTCTTCTTAAAAATGCAGTATTTTAGTTATGGTTTCCCTGTCTCCTTTCTCCATTTCATTTCTTCTACCTTGCTAGGAGGCACATGCTGTGATTTACCTGGCTCAGTTTCCCTGGTTGCACCTGCAGGCAGGAGGTACTGATATTGTCCCTTGCTCAGGGAATCCTAGCCTTGGACCTAGTGGGGACCTGGATCAGCCCCTGCTTCGAGCTATGCCAGCCCTGGGGCTGTGTCCTCACTGCGACCTCTGTCCTGCAGGCCCAGCCTCCAGGTGGGTGAGAAACTGCCTGCCGGCCCCTCTGCCCCTCACTGGCCTTGTGACACCAGCCGGCCTTGGGCCCTGTGTTGGGCCTGATACCCATGGGTATCGGGGATTGCCAGTCTCTCGCAGGGGCAAGGGTCTTGAATCGCAAATGTCCCCAAGCTATCCTTTATCAAGAGATTGGTCTGGGAGGCTGAGGCAGGAAGATCACCAGTTTGAGCCCAGCCTGAGCAGCTGAGATTGCAGCTCAGTGCCAAGGCCCCAGGCTTCATGCCAGTAACGCAAACACTGAGAGCTTGGGGAGAGAAGCACCAGGGCAGAGGGCCGGAGTGTCCAGGACCTTAGATGTGGGCCAGGCCCTCAGAGATGGCAGTCCCAGGAGGAGTGGGGTTCACAAGCCTCCCTTCAGGACTTGGCACTGAGCGAGAGACAGCAGAGGGACAGGGGACCCTGGCAGCCTGGGAGCTGTGTGGGACCAACCCGCTCCCAGAAGCACCTTGGTGACACTGCAGGTGCAGCCTGCTGATCCCCAAGGAGACAGTAAAGATTAAGAGGATCATAAACTACACCCAGCAGTGCCCTGGGAGAAATCTTCTCAAGCCTGAGCCACTGCTGTGGGGACCTTGGGAAGTTGGGGACACTCCTGAGACCAGACGTCGGGGAAGAGAGAGACAGAAGTGACTGCTAGGGGCAGGGAGAGGGAGAAGCAGAGACAGAAACACACAGAGACGGCGGAGACTGGCTCAGAGGCACCCTGGGACCTTCCAGGGCCTCACAGACAGCACCAATGAGCTCTAAGGTGGCTGCTGCCGTGCCAGGGGCTGTGACTGCCTCCAAAAAGGAGTCTCCAGGAAGGTGGAGCCTGGGGGAGGACCCAGCAGGTATGGCTTTGCCTGGAGATGAGGCTGGACCCTTGGGGAGTACCTTAGCCCTGTGGTTTTGGGGAAAGTGAAGGACCCCAAGTCCCAGAGCTTTGAGGCAGCAGGCAGGGCAGGGCAGGGCAGCTGAGCAATAGGGAAGCAGGGCAGTGAGAAGCCCTCTGAGGGCTGGGCTGTAAAGAGGTCCCAGGGTGATGTGGGGAACGAGTTTATGCGAGCCTGGTGCTATCCACAGGGGCGGAAGAGGACTGAGGAAGTAGAGGCAGGGTGGGGAGGAAGCTGGGGCTAGGGTCCTTAACCGGGACCTGGGGGTGTGGCGCTTCTCCAGATGGCGTGGAAGGCTGTGTCTCAGCCTGTAGTCCCACTCTAGGGAGGCTGAGGCAGGAGGCTCACAACTTGTAGTGAGTTCAAGGCCAGTCTATTTCAGACACACAGGGGAAGGAGGACTGGGTGGGAGGGTCTGTGCGACCCACTCTTCTTCCGGCTCTGCCGCAGCCTCGGGCCCTGCGCCCCAGTGCCGCGTGTGCGGAGACAGCAGCAGCGGGAGGCACTATGGCATCTACGCCTGCAATGGCTGCAGTGGCTTCTTCAAGCGCAGTGTGCGGCGCGGGCTCATGTATAGGTGAGGCCCTGCCAGCTCCCGCCCGGACCGCAGCCTGGCCCGGACTCTGAGGCCGCTCCCTGTCCTTATAGGTGCCAGGTGGGCATGGGGACGTGCCCCGTGGACAAAGCGCATCGCAACCAGTGCCAGGCCTGCCGGCTGAAGAAGTGCTTGCAGGCCGGCATGAACCAGGACGGTGAGCGGGCGTGTGGGGTGGGCGCGGGAGGGCCGCGGTGTGGCCGCTCTGTGTCCTGACCCCTCCGCGTCCCCAGCCGTGCAGAATGAGCGCCAGCCCCGGAGCACGGCCCAGGTCCGGCTGGACAGCACGGGGTCCAACATCGAGCCCAAGCTCCAGGAGGCCACTCCCACCCTGGCAGGGACCATCGCCCGGGGCCACCACTTCCTGGACAGCCTCATAATGGCTGAGACCTGTGCAAAGCTGGAGCCAGAGGACGGTGAGCAGCAGGGGCTGCGCGTCCCCCACCTTCCCGCTGCTTCCTGGAGGGAAGCCACTAAGGCCACACCATCCTCCTCCAGCAGCCGAGGAGGACATTGATGTCACCAGCAATGACCCCGAGTTCTCAGTGTCCCCCTGTGGCCTGGACAGTATCCAGGAGACGTCGGCTCGCCTGCTCTTCATGGCCGTCAAGTGGGCCAAGAACCTGCCGGTGCTGTCCAGCCTGCCCTTCAGGGACCAGGTACTCCAGACGCAAGCTCCCAGGGCTGGGCCAGGCTGGGGTCCATGGCCCCGAGCCAGCAGCACTGGGAGCACATGCACCCTGTACCAGGGAGAGGTGGGGTGTACCCAGCTTAGTCACACACCTGCGGAGCAGGGACGCGGAGGTGCCAGGATTTGGGTTTCCTGGGTCTCCCCTCGTGGACAGAGGCCTAAGCCTGAAAACATTCTGAACAGGGTAGAGGGAACCCCACGTCCCGACTCGGGTCCCTTGGGCGGATGCGGGCTTGTGACTTTGGGGTATGAATGTTATTCCGACCTCTTCACACCTGCATAGGTGTCCTGGGCTTCTAAAGGGCAACAGAGCTCGAGTGACAGACAAGGAAGAGAGCAGCAGGCAGGCTGAGGCTTGGCCAGGCTGTGGCTTGGCCAGGCTGTGTTGGGAGCAAGCAGCTCGGAGGAATCAGGCCACTGGGTGTGGTAGAGCATGATTGTAACTCCAGTACTCTGGGAGGCTGAAGCAGAAGAATCCCAAATTTGAGCTTGGCCTGATAAGTTAGCAAGTTAGACTATGTCTCAAATCAAGGGGATAAAAGGAAGGATGTAGCTCATTGTGAAAGCCCTGGATCCAATCCCTAATATCCCCAAAACACAAGATCTCGTCTTTTACTCACACTTAGCTTGGAAACTCTGGGGCCTGTCTCCAAGGCACTCTGTCCTATATCCCAGGCTCCAGGGTTTCTTCAGTGTCCCAACTGCCCCTCTGGGTGAAACCCACAGATGTCTAGGCAGCAGGGCTGGAGGTGCCCAGGCCCCAGGACCACCCATCCTGCCTGGGGGAGAGACAGAGGCCCAGGCTGCCACCGCTGTGACACCCTCGCCCTCTGAGTGCAGGTGATCCTACTGGAAGAGGCATGGGGCGAGCTCTTCCTTCTCGGGGCCATCCAGTGGTCCCTGCCTCTGGACAGCTGTCCCCTGCTGGCCCCTGCCGAGGCCTCTGTGGCCGGCAGCTCCCAGGGCCGCCTGGCACTGGCCAGCACAGAGCGGCGCATCCTGCAAGAGACCGTGGCCCACTTCCGGGCACTGGCAGTGGACCCCACAGAGTTCGCCTGCATGAAGGCCCTGGTCCTCTTCAAGCCAGGTAGAGTCTCAGCCTGAGTCTCCCAGAGGCAAGAGGGGTAAAGCACAGGAACCGGGGACTCCTTCCACTCACCTGCTCCCTCCACCCGGCGTGTGCAGGCTTCATGCTGGTGGTGGGGAGAGACATGTGGCCTGGCTGCTTTCCCCCAAGGCCCTTCCGGGTGACCATGAAGGACAGGGTGAGCTGGGGACCCTGGGGGGAGGAGCTCACAGGCACAGCCTCTCCTCAGAGACACCGGGCCTGAAGGATCCCGAGCATGTGGAGGCCCTGCAGGACCAGTCCCAGATGATGCTGAACCAGCACAGCAAGGCCCACCACCCCGGCCAGCCCATGAGGTATCTGCCTGCCCCTCTGCCCCTTCCCCATGGCCTCTGCCCTCCTCTCCCGGCTCCTGGATGGGGTCTCTGCTCAAGCAGTGTCTCTCCAATATCTGACTACCAGGCCCCCGGAGGGGACCAGAATATGCATGTGACAAGGCTGCTGTCCTCCAGGGGTGATGGGCAAAGTGAGCACTGGGAGACCAGACTGCCCGGTGGTGGAGAGGCCGTCTGTGCCCGAAGGAGAGCTGATGGGGCAGGGAGTCGAGCAGAATTGGGAGTGGCTTTGTGGAGGTGGAGGCCGACTTGAGAGAAAGGGAAGGGGCTGGCAGAAGATGTTTACAGAGGTGGAGAGGCCAGTGCCATGTCCAGCAGATCCGACGGGAAGGTAGGCTGAGTCAGAAAGACCTCTGGGCCCACCTGCCCAGGACTTGGAGTGCCAGGTAAGGCCATATCCAATGGGGGGCAGGCTTTTGAGGGCAACATCACATGCAGAGCGTGGTGCTGAGTATCAAGTGCCCTCCAGGCCACAGCGGCTGCCACCACCTTGCAGGGGGCTCTGCTGAGTTCTGACCTTCGCAGGGAGTGGAAAGGAGGAGACGGAAGGCAGGGACACTTGGAGCCCACAGGATGGACTTGGCACTTGGGCGGCCGTACGGCCTGTGAGGGAAGACGGGGGGCCGTTCAGGAGCAGAGAAAGGAGGTGAGAGTCCTGACTCAAGGGAGCCAGCTGAGGACAGGGCCAGGGGCGGGGGCATCCCGGAGAGACGCCTGTGGAGGTTGGCAGGTGTTTGGTAGACGATGGCATTCTGGCTGGGACTGCAGGCTGACGGCTGCGGCTGAGGAGGGCAGGATCCAGCGCCCATGCGGCCCCTCACTAGGCGCTCCCAGGAGTGCAGGGAGCTTGGGCCCCTGGGGCTCCAGGCATCTCTTTGGAACCATGCCACCTGGGTCTGGTTCTGACAAAGTGATGGAACAGGGCAGCCTCCAGGCGCCTCTCCCCTAAGGGATCCAAAAGGACTCTTTCCCTTCTGGACCAGTCCAGGGAGACAGGGACCGTGTTCTTTTGCACAAGAGGATCGTGCTGTGTGTGTGTGTGTGTGTGTGTGTGTGTGTGTGCACAGGGAAACAAGTACTAAGACCGGATATCCGAAGCCGGTGGGACCAGCTCCTGGACATGCCCTGGCCTATTGATTCTGGATCAGATTTCAAAATGCTGATTAAGACTTCCGGTATCTCTTTGTGGCAGCTCATTACCTCTCTGGGCAGAAAGGAGAGTGAAGCTGGAGGTTTTGGATTCTCTGGGTCGGCGTATCTCACTTTGCTGAAACTGAAATACCCAAGATGATGTGCAGTTTTCACAGTAACCCAATGTGTACATAGATACTGAGACAAAGTTCCACGAAGAAACACCTACCCTTTATATAATTTACTCTGATGTGTTCATTTTATGTATTCTTCAGTTTTTGTTTGAGATTGGGTCTCACTATATAGTTCAGGCTGGGCTTGACCTCACTATGTGGCCCAGGATGGCCTTGAACTCATGGCAATCCTCTTGCCTCAGCCTCCTGAGTGCTGGGATTGTAGGCATAAACCACCATACACAGCTTTTTTTTTTTTTAAAGTCTTGTTGTGATGCTTTAAATGTAATTTCAGAGCCACTAAAGTGAGCCAGTGCTTGCAGTTTGCAAAAAAGAATTCTCTAGGTCCTCTCAGTTACTTCTTCCTTTCACTCAGAAAGACACAAGCTGGTTGGGCATGATGGTGCACACCTGTAATCCCAGTACTCAGGAGGCTGAGGCAGGAGGACTGCTGTGAGCTGAGGCTGGCCTGGGCTATACAGTTAGTTCAAGGCCAACCTGAACTACATAGCAAGACCCTGTCTCAACTGAAAAGGAAGAGAGCAAGGGGGAAAAAAAAAAAGAACCAAAGAGGGGTTGGCAGGTAAGGGCATTTGACTGGTCGGTGTCACCCACTTGGTACTCAAGAGGAAGGGAGCCCTGAGGTGACAAAGGCAGCTCAGCAGCTGGGCAAGGACTGTGGTCTCCCTGGAGATCCCCAGGGCAGTCAGTGGCCCCGATCAGGCACTGACCCCAGCTGCAGCCTCTGCCCAAGGCAGGCAGTTTTTTCTGGGTATCTCAGCCACCCATACTTCAACATTAGAAGTCATGACCACTCTGTCCTAGGTGTTTCACAGGCAGGAATTTATGCTCTTATTCTTTTGTATAAAGCTAATCATATGATTTGAATACCTGCGGTTACACATATATTTATGTACACAATAAACATAAACCTCTCCGTGTGCAATCTTCACACATACTGTCCACAGGCCACGGACCTTGCTGATGCCCTGGTGCTTTTCCCCTCTGCCCTCCCCTGCCGCACCTTACCTGGCAGGACCTGCCCCAGGGGTAAAATGGATGGTGTCTTCTCTCCTGTCCAGGTTTGGGAAGCTGCTCCTGCTCCTCCCGTCTCTGAGATTCCTGACTTCTGAGCGCATTGAGCGTGTCTTTTTTTGCAAGACCATAGGGAACACCCCCATGGAGAAGCTGCTTTGTGACATGTTCAAAAACTAGGAAGAGCAGATGAAAGGTTTCCAACCATTCTGGGAAGCTAAACACCTGCCTTCATTTGACCCAGCAATTCCACTTCTAGGGTATGTGTTCCTGGCAGAAATGTACCCCAAAAGATGCATGAGGGTTGGGGACATAGCCCAGAGGAACGGCACTTGCCTTCCATGCACAAGGCCCTGGGTTCAACCCCCAGCACCACCACCACAAAATTACAAGAATATTCACAGTGACTTTATTATAGTCCCAAACTCTCTACTGAGAGTAGAATGGATTATAATATATATTATAGAGTATAATCAATAATATGTATTATTTCATAGGCATGCGAGGTCAAAAGCCAGACCCAATTTGCATGTCTGCAAGGTTCTAAAACAGGCTCCAGGAATGAACTGCTAGAAATGTGGTTCCTACTGTGAGGAGGGTAGGCAGGGGCATTGGAGAAGAAGGGCCCAGCAAAGCCTTCGGGGCTAAGAAATGTCCTTTATCTTGAGCTAGGTGGTAGATTCAGAAAGGTGTCTGTATGTATAAGTTCACTGAGCTATGTGCTTACAACTTAGGCACTTTACCTAAAAAAAACCCCACAAGAAATAAAAGAGAAAAGGTTAGGGTAGGAATGGAGAGATAAGGACCTTTCCTCCCAGGAAGAAGGTTCTTAGAGTAAGCTAAGTTAAATGGACAGCTCCTCTCTACCTCTGGACTGGACTTTGAGAAACATTAGAAATGCAGAATAACTGGTTTCCTTTGAACTCATTTTCTTTTAAATGAGCTTTTCCCTGTGCTCTACTTATTCACGTAAGAGCAAGGCAAAGAAAACGTGCTGGACTTCCATTCAGAATCCTCTCCTGGTGACAGGAGCTATTTCTCACAACAAATAAATACTCTCCTGATGTCCTCCTTTTGTATGCAACTTTATTCTTCGACTTCGTGAGACTATAAGCTTGGTTTGTACAGAATTAACTATTTTGGAGGTCCCACTAAGATACAAGATTAAAAGGTAAGACCCTCCCCTTCAAAGGGGAGTTTTTATTTTTCCTCTTGCAATATGTTCTCATTAACTGTGATTCCATTAAGGACTAGAGTTGTGCTCTGTGTTTTTCACTAGGTAGCCTGCTGTCATTTCCTTGGTGATGGGGTAGACTTGGGGAATATACCTCCTAAAGAACACAAGACTCAGTCAACCCATTAAAGAAGGTGACTAGTGCCAGCCAGCACTCCAAAAGTTTCAAGGACAGGTTTCACTGGCATGGGAGGGAATAGAGTGCCTGCTTGGCCTCAGGTCTCTTGCTGGTTTGATTCTCTGGTAGCACAGGAGAGATTCTGGCTCTTGATGCTCTTGGTCTCTTGAGATTGATGGCCTTGGGTGAGCTTCTCCTATTGTTTTTTCTTTTCTCTTGTTTTGAGGCTTATTTTACTAGAGACTAGAGACCCACCTTGAGAAAGTGTTTAGTTCCCGTTGTCTTTCTGTCCTTGGGGTTGCAGCTGGATTGTGGGTGGGGGTAAATTGGCTTTTTCTGAAGGGGGCTGGTACAGCATACATGATTTCATTAATAAAGCAGAAAACTGGTAGCTCCAGAAAAAAAAAAAACAGATATTAAGGGAACCAATAGCCATATCTCTTGCTCCAGGGACCACCTCTCTCTCACACCACAATTTCTCTCTGCAGCATATAGCCAGGCCAACAACCAAGTTCTATTCTCTGATATGCTGAGGGCTGAGAAAGGAAAAACCAATAGTATGAACAACTGGATCACAGGATGGTGAGGAAAAGGATGCAGGAGCCAGTAAGAGCGGATGGTCTGGCGCTGCCCCTGAACTTGAGATCAACTCTAGCAGCCACTGCTGGCACTAGACTGATCAGGCCTAAAGGACTCCTTAGATAAGGGGACAAAAGAAGCAGGAACAGGCAGGGATGCATTTCTCCCCTTGTTATTTTTCGAAACAGGAAATCTCAGCTTTCCCCACCCCTTGGAAAGTATACTTGAAAGCTTAGGACTTCTTTAATCCCAGACTCCAAAAAACCGTTGCCTAGTTTTTGTTTTTGTTTTTGTTTTTGTACTGGGGATCAAACTCAGGACCTTGCACTTTTGAGGCAGGTACAGTGCCACTGAGCTAAATCCCCGGCCCACCATTGCCTAGTCTTTTGCTGCACACATACCCTGAATAACCCTTGGGAAATGGGGAACGGAAGTTACCAGAGAAATACAAATTACAGCACAATGCCTTTAATAAGTCTGTCCCTTTGGAGGGAACATTTATATAAGGAGTAGCTGCAGTTATCAAAACCTCAAGTTTCCATAGTAATTCTACAGAACGCCAGGAGGGGCCTGGACTCTGATGGCAGCAATTCCAAAGATCTTTCTTAAAACAGTTCTAGCTTTCATGGATATAAAAGAGACAAGGTCTCAAATTTTGTTATCCTTCCTTATTATAAAACTAAGATTCCGTTTAACAGTTTATAACTTTGCCCTTTCTTCCTTCTGACTCTTATTGGTATAACTTATAAAAGAGCTCTTATGAATCATCTAAAGATTGCTATGAAACCCACTAGAGAAAGTTCTCACTAGTCTATTTGTATCTATAAGCCTAAAACTATAAAAAAAGAGTATTACAATTCAGCCTGCCCAATGCATCTGAGTGCACTCTGATGAAACTTCATTGTTTCATGTGTTCTGTGTTTTTGTGTTTGCCTGTTTAATGTTTTAATAACCAGTTAAGGATCTGCAGCTGCTTCTTTGGTGGGGGGAGAGAAAAATGATGTGGTCCAGGATCTCCCTTTGAGGCACTGAAAGAATGAGTACGAGGTCCTTGAGTTCTATCCAGTTCCACCCAAACCAGAGTCCAAGTGCAATGAATTCAAGCCCAGGGGAAAATCTTCCTGCAGGACTCAGCGATCCAGCCTTAGTGGAGATGGCATCTCTATCCCAGGACCTCTGTCTTTATCCTCCTTTGTAAATAAAGGTAAGCGCCAGCCACCACAATGCCGTGTATATGCAAACCGGTCATGCAGAAGACAGTTTCCATCGCTTCTCATGGAAAGATGGCGTTCAGAAAAATAAAAAGTTCATCTTTTTTAAATTCTTATTTTAAAATTTTATTAGTCCATGTTTGCAGAAGACAATGATTACACTCATCCTGGGGAGTTGGTACGTGTACCTAACGCCTCTTAATTCATTTACATGCCCTTCCTGTCTTTTTCCTTCCCCACCCTTATGTTCATATTCTGGTTAACCTTTGAACTATCATTTGTTAAGCTTTGGCATAGTATCATTGTCTGAAAGGACTATTAAAATATTGCCCCGTTTTCCGGTTTCCTATCTGTACGAAGCTGGATTTTCTTCATACTGTTCAAGCCCAATCGCATATTGCAGTAGATCAAGGGCAGAGGTAAATCAGAATCGAGGTGTCTGTTAGTAAGCCAGACATTCAAGAGATTTACAAGAATGAGCTATACTCCTTTTCTCTGTTTTTGCTTTAAAGATATAATTGTCTTTCATTACATTATTTATGTTGAGCTATGATGTTTATTAATTTTCAGTGAATTAATGAAACATACTTTTAGGCCAGGTGTGATGGTGCACACCTGTTAAACCCAGCACTCTGGAGGCTGAGGCAGGAGGATCCCCGTGAGTTCAAGACCAGCTGGCTACATAGTGAGTTCCAGGTCAGTCTCAACTACATAGTGAGACCCTGTCTCAAAAAACAAAAAACACAAACAAACAAAAAAGTACTTTAACATTTTTTCAGTCTGTATTTCCAAAGTAATTAAAGGTCTCAGTGTACTGGAGTCTTCCGAGTCATCAGTAATTTTTAAAGTGTGGAAGGGTTAAAAAAAAAAGTAATCAGGTGTGAGAACTGCTACTTTGAACTGAACGTGCTGACTTAGTCACATGAGAAAGCAGTTATGTTTGTTGCATTGCTTTGTTTTTCTATAAGTTGGTCATATTTATCTACATTGTTAGCTTTTTGAAAGCAAAAACCATATATTTTCTCAGAAGATTGCAATTTCCCCCCAAGAATAAATATCCAGTGAAGATTTAGGAAGGGACTGGAGGATTTCCCATTTGCTGACTGTTAGGGGAAGCATTCGTGTTTCCGCTCCAAATTGGTAGACACATCACAACAAAGTAAGAGAGAAATTTAATTCAGGACTTAAAATATTCCAGGTGTGGTGGCGCACGCCTGTAATCCCAGCACTCAGGAGGCAGAGGCAGGAGGATCGCCATGTGTTTGAGCCTGGGCTGCATAGTGAGTTCAAGGCCATCTTGAACCACATAGTGAGACCCTGTCTCAAAAAAAAGGCACTTAAAATACAATGAAGATGAGACATTTTGCCTCCAGCTGAGATAGATTAGCATGAGCAGGCCAATACTGAAAGGGTTTGTTGGCAAGCATCAGAGAACCATCTGAGTAAATAGGGACACTAGGGGGTCAAGATTCTGGAGAGAAACGATGGAGAGTGGTAAATTTATATTTGTGAGATGCTTTTGTTTCCCTGCGGAATTTTTCAGTTTTTATTATAGGTGAGAAGCCAGTATTCTGGGCATGGGGCCACATTTAAGATTCAGAGAGGCCAGCAGAACTCTTAGCAGTCTCAAAGGGTTGTAGAGACAAAAATTGGAGTTTGGAAAAACTAAGAGTTGAGGGACTTGGTTCACTTATATGAAGAAGCTGGAAACTTGGAGATTTCCCCACTTGTGGCAATTTTTCAATTTCTAAGCTGCCCAGAGTAAAGAGCTAAGAAACTTAATTGATCAGAAAAGTAATTTCCCACTGTCTCACAGGGCTGGAGAGAGCACCATCCTATCATGGTGTCCAGTGTGATTCAGGTATTGCTGTGCAGAGACCAAGGCTTTGATAGGTGACTCTTGGGGGACACTCCATGTTTAACCGTGCCAGGGACCCCATTATGGTTTTGGTGCGCTGTGTCTGCATTTCCATTTGTTTCACAAAGTAGTTCAACAACCCTCTGACTTCCTCAAGTGTTCATTCAAAAGTTCAGATTCCTGAGTATTCCTATACTATCAAGATTGTCATTGTCTACATTTTCTCTTGCCAATGTCTAGTTTCCTCGTCATCCGAAAAGACAAGGGGCATGGTTTCAATTTTGTTTAATTTGTTAAGTCTTGTTTGGTGGCCTAACGTTTGGTCTATTTGGGAGGAAGTTCCAAGCTTGGATAAAAATTCTGTAGCTGTTGAGGA